GTAAAATTAGGTTGTTATATGATGACAAATTAGGTTATTAGATTTTGATGTATCAAATCCCTAGTGCTTATAATGTCAAATACATTAGGAATTAGGTTGTATGAACAAGCTTTAAGACCCAATGTTGGTTGTATACATGAAGATGAAATGAGAAATTATGGCACGCATAGTGCAATATGTACCTTTACGCCATATGTGAAGCTTTGTCGGATGTGGTATCAAATATTTGTACTGCAACCATTAGTGATTGGTAGCCACCTTCTACAGAAGTTGGCAAGGGGATCGTACGTGCAGCACTGCAAGATATACAGAGAATATATAGTAAGTGACCCAAGAGACAAGCCCATGGAAGGGGTTGTGGAACAAGGGGAAAATTAGCACATTAATGACAACCAACACTGGTAAGTAGCTTCACATAGTATCGTCATGTGGTGTTTCCTCTTGGATTAGTGTACAATGTTTTAGTTGTGGCTTATTATATAGTTGTGGCTGAAGACACGCCCTTATTTTGTAATTGTTTTTCTGTCAATAATGGGGTTTTTTTGTGATTTCTGCAAAGAAGTACTCCTATGTCCTACTTAAAAGTGTTTCAAGTTCTTTACTATTTGTCCTACTTAAAAGTGTTTAAATTTCTTTGCTATTTCTCCCACTTATATCTATAATGTACACCGTGCATTTGTTATGTTTATATACATTTGCACAAACTATAGAGTTATAGTCAGCTAGGAGATGGGATTGAAGTTTCTAAATAGATGCGGGAAATTGATTTAGTCGTGGCCTCATAACTGTAAATGTTTTCTTTAGTGGCCCTTTGACATGGTAGGATATACCGCATGGGTTGTTTGTTATTTGAAATTTACTTTTTTGTTTCCTTTATATGTTCCATAGATAATTTAATGTAATTTAAATCATTTAGATTGCACAGCTCAAACTTAATACTGTATTTATTAGATTGGCCAAACAAAGAAAAGATGTGGACTATGTAAAACTCACTTTCTGATTTGAAATTATTGATATTGTGTTGATTTAATAGGTTAATGATTTGTTTGTTAAGGTAAAAGATTGAGTGGGAAATCCATTTTAGTTAATGGCTTCAGTGGTTGTAGCACCAATTTCTGGTTTCAGATTATCCAGTGGGTATAGGATGATGATGTTCGTAGGTTGCCTATAGCGATCTCGGTTGTCCCTCTACTGTTCTGTTGTATTCCGGACTCGGTTCCGTGAAGTTGGTGGTCGTGTACCTTGTTGTTATCCTTTGATTCCACCAGTGTGAGTTTTAGGATGTTTTGGGCAGGTGGATTGCAGGTTGGTTGAACCTTAGTCTCAAATCTAGTTGTCCCGGTTTTTGGTGTTACGCTCAAGCGGGTCATTCTGTGCTCGAGCGGAGTTTGGTTTTTGGTTGTCCGCTCGAGCGGGTCTTTTTGCGCTCGAGCGAGGTTTACACACTTCCAGTATTTCGTGGCCCTGCAAAACTTCTGCAGGTGTGTTTTCTACGCTCGAGCGGGTTTCTTGCGCTCGAGCGGGTCGCGCTCGAGCGGGATTGTTGGCGCTCGAGCGGGTGGTTCTTTTCCTTAAAAGTTCTGGGAGATGAAAATCTGCGCTCGAGCGGACTGGCTTTTCACGCTCGAGCGGATGTGTTTTTCTTTTGTTTCTTGGCGCTCGAACGGTCATCTATGCGCTCGAGCGGGACCAGATATTTATGCTTTACGCTCGAGCGCTCTATTCTACGCTCGAGCGGGTCGTGCGTATATGAGTTATCCGCTGGGTGATTTTAAATCACTTTTTACTTTTCTTTCTCTCTCCTACTTTTTCTAAAACCCATTTTTGAGAGCCCCTCTATCTAGAAACTCCCTTCTCTCTAGGGGTTGATCTAGTTAGAGTGTCCTCCTTCTCTTCGGCCTTTGTAAAAGTTGTGTTGATCGTCGAGGGCGTCGTTTTGATCCGAAAATCTTGGTCTTTGGAGCACTTTGGTTTTGGTCTCTTCTCCATCCGAGCTCTAACTTCGAGGTAGGGATATCCTACTCCTCTTTATGAGCTTTGTCTTTAAATTTTAGCATTTTGATATGTTGGGGGTTGTTGGGTAATTTTGAGAAGAGTTTGGGCCTTTGTGTAATTTTACAAAAGTTGGGGTTTTTAATTATATAAAACCTAAATGCATGTTTGGCATGAAGGAATGAATTTAATGTTGAAACATTGATGAAAATGAAACCGTGGGGGTTGGAATGTTAATTATGGAAAATGCCCTAATTACCTTGATTGATTAATTTGTACAATTAATTGTTGGAAATGAGGGATTGAATTGAGAATATGGAAATTGGAAAGGGAAGGGTTAAAGGGTGTAGTTGGATTATTCATCGCTCACCTAATTGAAATGTTGATTAAATATCTATTTTGTGCATTTATTTTCTGTTTAGAAATAACTGCTTTGGGCTATCGGTGGAGGATAGTCTTGATTGTTGTAGACAATGCATGATGATTAGGCAAACTAAAACTAATCAATTGAATGCATCATAGAGTATGATGGTGGATAGAATACATTAATTTTATGTATTGATTGATTGTGTATAGAACCTTTGTGTTTATATGCATTGTGTGTAGAGGAGGAGATGGTGGATGTACTCTGCGGTTTAGGAAAAAATGGGGGATGAACCTCTAAACCGGATAGTGTTGGGAGGAAATGGGGGATGAACTCCGTAGATACAGCTCATATGCTTGTCTAGAGAAGTGAAGATACAGCTCATAGGCTTATCTTTGAGAAGTGTAGATACAGCTCATATGCTTGTCTAGTGAAGTGTGGATACTGCTGATATGCTTATCTGTTGATGTGTTGATATGGCTAATATGTTTATCTATTAAATAAAGGTGGAGAATGAAAAGTAACATAGAATGGGAACATCATTTTCAGGTACAGGTAGCATGCCACCTCCAAGGACATAGCTTGGGAGGCTAGAGGCGGACAGACTTTTGTTGTCTTATTTCCTTTTTATGTATTACATGTAAATTCAGGCCAAGGGCTTAATGTGTAATTGAGTTAGTACTCTTTTTTTTGTAACCAAGTGTTAACTTGGAAAGCTGTAAGCCCATAGGGCACTTGCTTTTGTTGTTAACATGTAATACTTTCCTAATGAAATACTCTGATGAATCGAAGAATGTGGATCTTATATGTATAAATACATGTTTATATTGATGGGTTCAATGCTATTTTTTTTCGAGGGCGTTACATTGCCTAAGGAGATGAATGACATGAAAATTAGGGATGATAACATACAACTGCTAATTTAATATCAATGTTTGTTTTTATTTTTTTTTATTTTCCTGTTTCATTATTTGGCACCATTTACCTTGCACTAGTCTGTTTTTGTAGGAAGTGGAGGCCACACTTGTTCATGGAAATGGGACAAAGACAGGACATATAATTGTGAGAACTATAGGTGGTCGAACTAGACAGCCAAAGCAGGTATTATGTAGTAGCTGGGTATTTATTTATTTTTTCATTACTATGATGAAGATCTGATAACAATTGCACGAGGATAGTTTTGGTGCAATTTATGCACTTGTTTTTTGTCCGTGTCCGTTTTGGTTGGTAATTAGTAATATACTTGTACTTTCACATGAAATAAATGTATTGGATTATGTACTAAATAAATTTATTGCACTTGCAAATCTTGTATTCATTGGGTCGTGGTAGATACATGGCCGCTGCCAGTTGTGGTGTGGTTATGGTTGTGTTGTTTCAATATGTTACGCTGAGGAATATCAAGGTTGTGTAGTTTCTTGTCACTTAATTTTTTCATGCCATACTGTACAAATGGGTGAAATTGTGTTGTAATTATGATCGAATCGAACTTTTGTAGGATTGCGTTGCACAAGTTTGAAGGTGTTGAAGCCATTGATAGGCGTCCAAGTTCCTTTCGTTGAAGAACACGCTTGAATCCCTACTATATGGCATACATTTTGCACCAATTGAAAATTAACTTGTAAAGTATATTGTACATGTTTACCACTTTTCTATGCATCATAGTGATATGTAGTTAAGTGGATTGAGAAAACATTTTGTTCAAGTGTATATGAATGTAACAAAATATTGGACCTCTAAATGTGTGTGGACCTTAAATTGCATTGGAAATGCACTACATTTGTACACAATGCTTTAATTATCCTTGCACACGTTGGTGGACGTCACATATGGGTGTTTGTGTACATTTGGCATGAACTTTGCAGGATGTTAGAATTTAAATTGAAAATGAACAATTTATTAGTGGGTTAAATGAGGAGGATGTTCTTGTATTGTTGTCTCTTCATTTGTGTAGAGATTAAATTAAATTATGATGACAACAATCGGTACAAGGTTAATGACATAGGTGAAGGAAAATAAATATTAGAGATAAAGTTTGTAACATATCGCTAATAAGGTCAGATTTAGAGACAAAATAAGTTCATTTAAAAAATGTTTTATATTTTTACTTACCATTTTTCATCGGAGAAGGTTAGTCAAGAATTAAATGTAAAATTTTGTGAATAAGTTCATGTAAATAATCAATTAGTCTGAATCAGAAAATAAGTTCATGTAAATTTTGTGACCTAAAAACCCAAAAATATAAACAAAACTATTGCAACAACAAAATATATTCTATCTAACTTTTATTGTGCACAATCGGAAAATAACGCATTATTCATACTCCACTAGGCAGTTAGGAGAGTGAATTGCCAATAATTTCAAATTGGCATAGTAGTCTTTTCATTTTAAATTTAATTTATCTTTTATTTTTGTGAAAAAATGATTCTGGGTTTCACTGCTGACCACTCGAGCCAAGAAATGTTGGCTCGAGCCAACAATCAATGGTCCCAGAAGTTGGAACCAGCATGCAAAAGTTTTGAGACTCCTCAATGTACGCTTGAGCGAAGGTGAAGACGGCTCAAGCGAAACATATGATGGCTCGAGCAAAAAAAAATCAATCCAGGATATTTGCAGGTCGCCGAACTGTTGAGAACTCCACATTTGGGCTCGAGCGACATCACATTGGCTCGAGCGATACTGGACTTCATATATCACAACCCCTCATTTCTACTCCCCTTTGCTTTCCAAAGTTGCTTGATTTCTTCTATTTATGCTAGGGCAAATCCTTACCGCTGCTGTGCGTGGCTGATTATCCAAGCTTCTCTCTTGGATTAGCCCCTTGCTCATTGTTTTTCATCGGTACATCGTAAGTGTTTCCATATCTATATGTATGTGTTAAAGTTGTTTGGTTTTTGTCTCATCTCTGGCGTTTGTTTCTGCAAATTTCATGAACACATATGAACTGTAGCGGTACAAATTGGGAATGATTGATTATGTTTGTTACAATGTTCCTATGTATTTCATACAATCCATGTACATAGTTGGGGAAAACTCGCTTTGTGCTTCAAATAACCACAAAGGTGGCAATAGTGGGTTTGTACTAAACATTTACAATAAATTTTTTTACTACTTATTACTCTTCTTTCATGATTAAGTCAACAAACTTTTATAAAATATTGTGACAATTGTGAGTTTGTGTTGAAATAGAGTTGAGAATGCTATAAAATATTGCCATGATTTTGCAATGGAGTCCTCTGAAACACCAAAACTTACAATAAATTTTAATATCCTTGTGGATCCACAGTTTAAGGAATTAATTATTTGACCACATTGAGTTTGTGAAGAACACGTGAAAAGTTAAACATGTTTTATATAATTAATTAATGAAATTTTCTTGCTAAATTTTGTAAGTTTGACTACCTACCTCTTGAGATTTGCTATTGCAACACTCTTTTGTATTATTTACACACGTTTTCACCATATATAAGTTTTAATAGTTTGATCAAGTAAAAGTTGAGAATGTTATAATAGAGGGAAAATTTGGGTGGTCAAAGTCTCTAATAGACCCAATTGATGGGTAGTTATTTACTAAAAAAATATGAATAAATATTGAGTGTAACAGTAATATCTTGTATCATTCAGTACAAATAATAAATTAAATACGAGTCATTCCTTGTATTTAACTAACACAATTATATAATCAATTGGTTTCGTTCAATCGACGATCCCTTGACTTCAGCCAATTTTGAGAGTTTAATATTTGCTAAATTTGAAGGTTGATAATTTATCTCCTATTATTAAACTCATTGTTGTGTTGTTTATTATTCTCTATTATGAGACTATTTCATAAATTGATTGTTGAACTGGTTGTTAAATTCATATAATTGTTGAATTATGATTGTCATAATATAATTATCTTCATATTACAAATATTGTCTACCCATTGACATTTAAAATAAAATATAAAAAAAAAATTACTTTGCCATGTAAGATTTCTCATTAATTAGCCATAATATTAAATTATATACTATTATACTCGATATTAATTCTAAAAGTACTTGCGCCTCACTATTCACTCTTTTTTTCTTTTCTTTTTCTCTTTCAATTATTCCAATGTATTTTTTGTGTGATCTAGTACTCTGGTTTATAAGTAACATATGTCATGCTTTCATAATTCCATGCATGATTAGCTCCAACTTTATATATAATGCTACTACAAACTTCCTTTACTTTCACCTTTTTAATTTCCTAACAGCCTTGGAAAAGTACAAGTGTGTTGTGACTACTTGCCCAAAACAAAACAAAACAAAAAAACATTAGTTTTTAATTAGATCATCTCTGTTTGTCATTATGAACCAAGTGTAATTGCAGATAACTTGATTTGATGCAGTTTAGTAGTTGTTGGAAAGGGACTATAAATAATTAAATATAAGTTTGTGGATACCGATAAAAATATTTTCAAAGTTGCACGACACTATGAGTAAGAGTTATTATTTTATGTACAAGTTGGTAGCCTAATCCAAATTCTTCTGATGTGATGAGTTTAAACTTGTCTATTATTTATGGTTTTGTTTTCTTAATGGTTTGTAATGATGCTCATGGTTTATGGTTGTGATTGGGGATTTGAGGTTGTGATGAATGTTCGTGGGTTCTTAATTGGGTGGGGGTTCTTTGTGTCTTGTTGCTTGGTGGATTTATGTGTGTTGTTGGGGTTTTAGTGATGGCTGAATCTTGTAAACACCGAAAGGCCACTGTGTCCCGTACCTCTTATAACAATAAGAAATTCCAGTCTAAGGAGAAAGCCAATTTGTTTCGAGATTTGTACAAGTCTAAGACTGTCCATCTAGAGCGTAATGTCGAAGCCAATACCTTCGAGTCAATCCCCATTCATTCTATTTTTGATGCCTTTGGTGGTGACCGTGTCCTACTGTTCTTGGGCCCCCAAAATCTTAGTTGGAATGCGGGAATTCTATTGTAACATCCACTCAATTGACACACATATCGCTGCTGATTTCAAGACATGGGTCCGTTCGAAGCCAATTTTTGTCAATGCAGAATATATTCGGTCATTTCTTGGTATTCCTGAAGTTCGTAACTGTCACTTTCCCTTCCTTGCCAAATGAATTGTCAACTTTGACATGGTGGCTTCTAAACTTTGTGGCACACCCTGGAGTTGGATTGACGAGACTCTAATTAAACAACATATTTCTCGCTTTCACCTTTTGAACATCATTGTCTATGCCAATGTTCATGTCACTACCCACAGTTTCAACATCTCACAGGACCAAGGATATGTGCTATACTGTATAGATCGGGATCTCCTTATTAATCTTCCGAAAATGATAGTGGAAAAGATGATTTCGATTTTTAAAGGGAAAAAATCCTTAAGTCTTCCATATAGGCGTCTTGTGAATAGGATACTCTCGTCTATCGCAGTTCCTTTATCTCCAGATGATGAGTTTGCATGTCTTGTCAAACCCATTACCAAAAAGACTGTATCACATAGTGAGGCGCATGTGAAGGGGACTTCGTCAGGGGTGGGTGGTTGTGGTGCAGCTGTAAATATGATGGACAAAGAGACTGAGTTGGATGCTGCCGTTACTGGTGAGGGAGCACAACTTGGTATTGGTCATACTATTTGAGGACAACTTGACCAGTTTGAGCAAGCCATGATTGCACGATTGGATCGCCTAAACGCCAAAATGGATGTATACGATGGACGTCTCACTGACTTAGAGACGTCCACCGACGCTCGGCTTACTGCATTGGAGGCTTCATGTGGATGCATTGAGCATGCCATGGGCCAGTCTTCTCTCCAGCTTGTCGATATTCTATCCATGCTTCACATGTAATAGCCTCCTTCATCGCCACCGGAGTGATGAAAGTATTTATTCTTTGCTATCACTTTCAATATTTATATTGTCTGTTATGAGCAATTTGTCTATTATGAGCAATTGTACAAATTAGCGTTATGAAAGTGATACCATATGCATTTTTTTTATGTTGCATCTTTCTAAATGAAACATGTACTATAGAAAGGACAATAATTCTAGAGTTTTTTTAGCATGGTACTCACTGTGTTCATAAATTAAAACCTATTCAATTGCATGTTGTTGTTCATTACTATCTTTTTCCATCATGATTGAGGTTCCTCACGTGAATGAACGCTATTGCATAATTTGGTTCCTATAGTAAGCTATAGTGAAGCATCAAATTGAAGCCTTGTTACCACAACAGTTCATGCAAAAAAATGAAGAATTTCTATACGACAGCAATGAAGGCATATTACCTCACTTCAATTGTTTGAAATATTAAATAAAAAAAATTTTAAAAAATGCAAAATATTCCTTGCAAATTCTTTAATTGTTTGAAATAGGACAAAAGTGTTAATGGAAGATTCAAACCTTAGCTACTTTGTTATTGAGACTGGCATGGGATATACCACCCTAAGAACGCACAATTGTTACAGTAGTTCAACGCCACAAGTGTAAACACCTGCTTTCATATTGGAATGAGTATTTGTTGTTTTGGTTGTTAATTTTACTACTCATTCAATGTAAAATAGATTGTTTTCCAAGTAGCAACTATTGCCTAGCCTTTGTCTTCGCTTTCATGAACTCATTTTTTATGCCTTGGGTGGTGACAGTGTCCTATGCTCGACGAAAATATATATTGAATGTATCAATGTACTGCTCTACTGCTATTTGCTATTCTGTCCACACATATGGCCCACTTTGACTGTGAAATGATCTTTGACAGGAGCTATACATTCATGTTGGCTGGCTTTTGTACCAAAAATATGGTCATGGTTGTGAAGTAATATTGTCCAAAGATTTTTAAACATGTTATTTTGTTTTTAAGTACAAATAAGGTATCTGTGCTTGTATTTGCTTGCATATGTATTATTTTTATGGGATTATATTTCATCTTGTTCATTATGCAGATTGCACTCGGAGATGGACTTCTGCTTATGAAGAAGATTCCAAATGTGGCCAACAGTTCAAGGCAAAGGGAGAGTTGGGAACAGTGGCATATATTTTTGAACTACTTGTTGTCAACGTCACGCATAATTAACTGTTAATATTTTTCTATGTAAACTTGGGCAAATTTTCGTCCATCATTTTTGTAAGTCCTAGCATATGCATTAGCTCTCCCCATGTTAATATAAATAATTTTAGCACATATTTAGTTCCTCAAGTTTAAGATCAAGGCCAATTTGTAGTACAAAGCAAACACAACAAACATGTTGACAGAGACCAATTCACATAATAAAAAAGGAGAAAATAAATATAATATCAGAAGTAACGCAAACATCACCTTGACCACAATGTCTAATTTTGCTTTTGCAAGAGAATCCCTCAAATTTTGAGCTTGAGCAGGGCCCTAAAATGAAAAAGAATGATGTTTCTCATTATATTAATAGATATCCTTATTAATGATGTTCATCTATTAAAAATCCACATTGAAGACAGCACCAATAAAATGAATTTAGAGTAAGAAAATTACTCCAACCAAATAGAGGTGAAATGTTGCAAATTCAAACAACATTACCAATATATCCCTTCACTCACAACAATGTCTCAGGTGAATATCAAAATCACTATATATTTTTATTAATTTCCTCAATCCAAAATCAAATCAATAAAAAATAAAAATAAAAACAGGTCTTAATGCACCATTTGTTGAAACACTATTACTCCCACTGGCTCAAAGAGAGAGAAAGAGAGAGAGAGAGAATGAAGGTTTGTGCTTTCAAATTTGCGGACTCTACGAGTCTCGTGAAAATTTAACCCCACCAAATAAAATTAAAATATATATATATATATATATATAATATCATGAATAGAAGTAAACACAAAATCAAAAGTGGATTTTAACAGATAATCAAGGCTGCACCATTTTATCAAGTTTCAAATAGATAGTTAGAGAATTCACACAAGGCAAGTGTATGATGATACTACATGTTTCTTATGATGATTGATACACACAAAATAAAAAAGTAAATTAACACATTTTTCAACTTCCAAAATGTTTTGTAATAAAACCTAATGTTGTGTTTAGATCATGGATTTAAATCGAGATTTGCAGAGAAAAATGGAGAAATGAAAAGATGACGACAATGTCAATGAAATAAATGCAGCTAATTTTTTCCTCATCTTCCACTTATAGTCTGCGCTCATTTCCGAAGTACAAGAATTGTAAGGCATAACAATTAAAAAATTTCTTGGAGAGCCTTTTTTTGAGAACCATGAAAATTAATTTTATATTATTTATGTTAGGTTTTTATTCTTAGCAACCCCGTTTGACAAAACTCCTTTCAGTTGTATTTGTTTTCACACTTTTTATTTCAGTGAGACTATGAGTGTTTAGATGCGAATCCAACCCGAATTATGCCTTGCAACTAAAAATAACAATTAATCTTCCACATCTATTGGGTTAAGTGGATGTGCATGGGATTTGCAAATTTATTACCAGTGATTTCCAGAAAAAATCAGAATAACAATTAATCTTCTATATCTATTGGGTTAAGTGGGCGTGCATGGGATTTACAAGTTTGTTTAAGTGGGGGTGCGTGGGATTTACAAATTTGTTACGATTGATCTTCGGATGGGTACGTTACGACCAATGTTCAATTGATATTGTAAATGTTTCCCAAAATATTACAAAATGAATATGCGAAAGTTAATTTTCAAAAAATTCCAAATGACAACAAAAATTCAAATAGTCATACTTTTGAATAAAATACAAACAGTTGGCCGTAACAACGAATGATGCATTACTGAGTTAAACACAACAATGCCTACAAAAGCTTGCTTTGTTCATACAGTGAGTAGTCAAGTCGTGCGGAGACTTGTCAAGTCGTTCAAAGATCTGTAAAAAATGACTCAGTGATGCAGTGACATTGAACAGACTTAATAAATTAATCCCCCTACGAATTGATGAATTTTACATGGGCAAAATAAACTTTGTACGCATGTGTGCTTCTTTCATACAGTGAGTAATCACTTCGAAGTTAACATATTGAGGTCAGAAATATGGTGTTTTGAAGAAATTTGAAATTCAATCATAAAATCCAACGGAGGAGGGTAGAAGATAAAATGCTATACTGGTTTGTGACTTGTCAACATGCAGTGACTTGTCAAGTCACGCAGTGATCCATCAACATAAGTTAGTGATGCCATGACTTTAACAGACTTAATAAATAATCGAAATAGTTTCAAACACAGCTCATCCCCCAATGACATGCAATTCACATGGCTATTGTAACTTCGAACGGAGTTATGTTTCTTGGTTACAGTGAGTAGTCAGTGAGTTGTCACATCAAACATGCGAGTGAGTTATGTTCCAAGAAATTAAAGTTACATTTCTAACACCCCTCTCCCTCTTTATTAAATTCACAATGTCACATGGCAACAGTGACTTTGCACATTGTCGTTAATTTTTACTGATTTACCTTACAGTGAGCATGCCCTTCTTCTGTCGGTATATGCAGATGGATTGTCAAGTCGTGTGACTTGGTGCATAGGCTTTGTTTTTCTCAGTTTTCTCATTACAGTGACAACTATTGTCATGTCATGTCACTTTGTGCAAGGGCATTTATTTTCTTTGTCTTCTCCTTACAGTGTCTTTCTCATCATCGTGTTGGAATATGGCATATGTGTCATGTCATCATTTCTAAGTGACATGAATAGGAGCATCTAGCAATGTCGTTCATAAACAACTATTTAAAGGAGTAAAGGTGAAGATACACCCTTACCACTCTATTTATCGTTGATTTCTTTTACAAAATCCACATAGCTACATGATTCATAGGAGGAAGTGCGAATTGCAGAGGTGGTAGGAACTTGCAAAGAGGTGAGCATTCACGACGAAGAGGGGGAAGGCAAAAAAGATGTTGCGATGCAAAAGACAAAACAACAAAACCTTCTTTAGATTATGCTTGTGGTTATCGTGATAGGTTTGGGAAGTAACATTTTATGATGCCCAAGTATTATCCAGTTCAAGGAGGTTCGTGTATGGATCCATCTGACAATCAAACAAGATATGGTTTAGCAGACGCTGCTCTTCTCAAGTGGCCCGCATTATTTATAGAGCGAGTACAAATGGAAACCTTAAGTCGGGAAAATTGACTTAAGGTCCCGAAAGCTCGTTCTGTTGACATCCAAAGGGAAGATCCTGATAATGTTGATCAACTATGTAAAAAACTACAACATGAGATCTCTCAAATGCGTCGTAGGTTAGCCCGCAATATGCAACTATATATAGTTAAGAAGGATACCCAGAAGAACGGAACAGAACCAAATGTTGTGGCTATCACGGCTATGATGGAGGATCCTACACTTGTCTCTGACCTTGAGCTTTCAGATTATTCGGACTCTAAGATTACCGATTTAAGCGTGAATTAGGTTTTTCTGTCTATACTAAAGCATATTAGGATCTGCATAATTATGTAGTGTGCGTTAAACTAAGGTTTCCATTTTCTGCCTAACTATTTCAGTAATGAGTTTGTCACATTTTTTGCCTAATATTTGTTTATATAATTGTTAAGTGTTGTAATTGTAGCTTCATGTTTATGTATTGTGAGCAAATAGTTCAGGGTGTCCACAATGTATTTCTGTGGGAGACTTATGTGTCAACTACTTATGTAACTGAAAATTGTTATGTTGGACCATTTTAATGTCGTTTATTTATTTATTTATTTATTTTGTTCATGAATCTCGTTTTGTTTGATGAATGGAGATTCATTGTTTTTTGGTATCCTTTTGTCTTGTTCATGAATGGAGATTAATTGAAAGTTCATGGACTTGGTGGTGAGTTAATATTTGGAGACTCTCCATTTTCTCTAGTTTAATGGTCATTATTATTTTTGGTGTAAACTGTAAGGTCCTAGTGGCCTATAAATAGTTTTTCTCACCTACTCTTTTCTACACCAACTATTGTTTATACTTGAGAGATTACTAGCAAAGAAGGGTGTTTTTAAGCTTTGGGTTCACCATCTTGTGTAGAGTTGGCCTGAACCATACGACAAGTGGTCGGACTGTTGTATCCTGGAGGGGACAAGTCATAGTTTCGTGACTGCTACATCGGTATTTGGGTTTTTCCTACCGCAGTGGGCTTGATCTCTTTAAAAAAAAACAAGATATCTGTGCCTCATCCTGATCTATTTGTATCTCATTTTCTTTGCATTATTTATCAATAAAATATAATTTTTTTGGTATTTTCACCAATAATTTTTAGGAGATCAACCATGGAACAAGTACCAGAAAAAATCAATGATGGAATTGGAGATCTCAACAAACCTTTCAAGTTCCAGGGAGTTCATTTTAAGACGTGGAAAGGAAAAGTTCTTTTTTATCTTAGCCTTTTGAAAGTTGCTTATGTTCTTACCAAGAAGAACCCAAACAAAATCTCAACCAAGGAGATGAATGATGAAGACTACGAGGCACATGAAACAAAAGTGGCTTCCTATAATACAGATAAATATAAATGTCGCTTTTATCTCTTAAATTGCCTTGCTGATCAATTTTATGATTACTATGACACCACTTACACTTCCGCAAAGAAAATTTGGAAAGCTTTACAGACTACGTATGATACTGAAGAGGCAGGAACAAAAAAAGTATGCAGCTAGCCGCTTTTTTGCTTCCAAATGGTGGATGAAAAATCTATTGTGGAGCTAGCACAAGATTTCCAAATGATAGTTGCAAAAGTAAGATCTGAAGGCATCAAAATTGGTGACAACTTGGTAGTTGCAAGACTTGTTGACAAGCTATCGCCATCTTGAAGAGAATTTCAAAAAAGCATGTGCCACAAACAAAAGGAGACTTCCTTAGAAGCGTTGATCACTCGCATCCGAGTCGAAGAGGAGTCTAGAGGCCAAGATGCATTAATAACACAAGAGGGGTAATGACAATTCTATTACAAAGGTAAACTTTGTTTCAGCAAATAATAACTTACCCAAAGGTCATAATTCCAAGAATGCTTATTTGAAGCCTTATAAAAAGAATATGAAGAATTATGGTAAACCTCACAACAAATGGATTAATCCAAATTAGAACCAAGGTCCATCACCTTCACAAAATTTTACATGCTTTGTCTGTGGCAAAAGTGGGCA